CAGGGGCAGTAATTCCACTTAAAAAGGACAATGAGAGGTAAACACACCTGTGGCAATGATCCCTGACTGCATCGTCAGGCACACATGCATAGGCCCACACTGACAACATACACCCAGTATAACATGCTACATGCATTTGTCTTTCCTCCAATAATTATAAATAACATCGCAGGTTTATCAAGTAAGATAGTTTACAGTGCATTTTGAAAAATGTTTGCAAAAACTTCAGTAAGAAGACTTTTAGCACTTTAGCACTCAACAACAAATATAACTCTACTGAGTGCAATCAGCTGATTAGCATATGTGCTATACATCAGCCTGTCCCAAACTATAGCGTAAATGCTGTTTCTATACCAGAAAAGGTCTAAATGTGCATTTTTAGTCTTATTTGGGGCTGTCTGGCAAACTGAGCATGATGGAAAAACTACAATTCATAATTTTTACACTTTTCTTTTGCACAGATGAAAGCACTTTAATATATAATTCCTCTGGAATTAAATTGAATTTTAGTCTATTTCGGACATTGTCATGCGGTTATACTTACATGCTGGAATAAGGACAAAACAGAGAAGAAGATAAGAGGCAGCTCTGTGTGCGTCTAACAGTTACTTCAAACAGACAGGCCGAAACAACTCGATAGAAGCGGAAAGATTCCTGAATCACTCTGTTGGTTATAAAAATGTTCATATGCGTATATGAACATCAATTTAAAAGCATTTGTCAGGGAGAAGTTTTTAGTCTTCATCACATTTCCTTGCCATTGCTTCATGCTAAATGCGGTGGCTCTGTGGTGTGGTGGTTAACACAAAAAGCAAAAGCTTTCTGGCTTTAGACTGTGACGAGACACAAACCCAGCGATTGGGGGGGACAAGCCGAGTGTCCATCTCCAGCCCGGATTATTGGAAGGGTTACATCAGGATGGATGTGTATCATCTGTGCCACATCAAACAAGCAGATCTGCTGTGGTGACTCCTTGGAAAATAAGGGAGCGGCTGAAACTACCTACCAGCTATATATATTTTATGGCTTGACCTCATGTACTTGATAAAATTGAAAAAAGTGTTATTTCCCAAAATGCAACTATTTCCTTTAAAATTAGAAAGAAATGTGCCAAGGAAAAGCCGCATTTACCCATAGACTTGTTGAAGTTTCCTGATCCAATATTAAATTTAGAAAACTTTATAAATAGTATCCTAACAGTTATTAATAAGGATAGAGAGCATTATTTAAAATATTTACAGTAATGTAAGGGAATGGTGGCGGAGGATGGTGAAGAGACTCAAAAAAGTGAGAAAACCAGAGAAGAGGTTATGCTCAAGTGCTGAGATCAGCATATATGGACAAGCATCCACGATTCATTTTTTCTCTCACCTCTGTGTCAAAGTGGGCCTAAGCAAACAGAGGATGAGCCTGACTGGAGGGAAAGCAAGGGAAGGCAAACAGTGACTGGTCAAAGCCAGGAGGCATGTGGGAGCGTTAAGGTCGCCTCAGTGCCGAAATCTTAGATCCACTAGCTCTGGAGAAAACTCCCCACCCTATAGACATCCACAGGCTGTCAGTGCTTTAACTGAAGCCCTGCACTGGAAGTACTGGTGTATAAATGTGTTTTACATATTGACTAAAACAATTAATTTACTCTCCAAAAACCTCCCTCTCCATGATAATCATTAGGTACTTTATGTTTTATTTTTTATTTTTTTATCTGAATACATTTCATCCTTATCACACGTGTCTATATAAAGCATACAAAGCTTATATTCAGTTCATTTCAAAGTGCTAATTAATAACAACAGTTCCCTCAAAACACTTTATATTATAAGGTGGAAGAACCTACAAAGAAAACTGAGAAAACCCCAACAATTATATGACCCCCAGTGAGTAAGTGGTTTGGCAACAGTGGGAAGGAAAAACTCTCTTTTAACAGGAAGAAAACTCAGGCTCAGGGAGGGGCGGCCATCTGCCACGATCAGCTGGGTGTGAGGGGAGGAGGACACGACAACTATGACTATTTATGGCAGCATTAGACTCTATAGTGTGTTTTTCACAGTTGGAAAGTTACATTGCTTCTGTCTATCTTAATACAGAAGTCAGCTAACCTAATCAACAAACCAAAATGAAGAATTTATGTACAGCCCTGAAGTCATTTTTGAGCAGAAGAAATTTCTATAATGAAAAACATTCAAAAGTGCAGTTCAAACAGATATTGAGGTTGATCATCTCTCAGTTGATTTTCACGAGTTGTGCCAATGATGGCGAGAAAATGAAATCAAAAAGCCAGTGAACAGCTTATTATACGATAAGCAAATAGGTTAAAATATGCGAAACGCTTCTCTTTTTTTCTCGAGATTCAAAGCTGAGACAATACAAGTTTAAATCTTTTTTCTCAGGTTTGCTTGAATTGCACCTGCATTTCATCCTTTGAGGATTGAGGGGGGGGGTGGGGTGGTCTGGGAGGGGATCTAAAGCGCAATAGAGATCAATGTTAATTCACAGTCCTGCTGACCCACACCAGGAAATGGCCTGGTGTGACAGTTAGCACCAGGTGGGGTGTTGGAGGAGAAGAGACAGGCGCCAAATGGGACACTAGGACTGTAGGAAATGACACCTCTGACTTTTAAACCATTTCTACCTCGGCTAATATACAAAGGGGTTCCTCTTTTTAAATGACTAAATAACTAATAGAAAAGGAAGTTATAACTGAATGAAATGCTTTGCACTTGTAGATAAAAGAGACCACATTCACAGCCAGAAGCTTGACTTTATGAGGACCTTCCAGACCGAGCTGATTGACTTGATTAGAATTTAATGCTGCGTCTTCAACTTTTCTATTAAACAGACAATCCCTGAGATCCCTGAGAAGAGCAGGAAAGCAGATATTTACGTCAGTCTTCTGAGGCAAAGATACGCCTTTTCTTTAACCAACATGGTTTCCACATAAAAGTTGGTAAGTGACATGGAAAGTTTAACCTTTGTCTGTGAGATCTTTTTTGTTTTTTAGTAACATTCATATTCATTGAGGCGACACAATCTGAAGGAGTCTTTCAGCTTCTCTTTAACCTGAGTGGGATTTGTTTTTCTCTGCTTGCTGTGAACTCTGGTCCAGACTGCTGGACACAGAGTCAGACTCACTGTGCTGGCAGGAGGAATGAGGCGCCCAAGATTTGGTTAGTAACACAAGCCAACCGCAACACAACACCACAGAGCTATACTGGAAGCTAACACGTGGGTGCCACAAACTATCTGCTTTTATCATTTGTTTTTATCTTATTTGTTATTTCTTGGATGCCACCATGGCAACGGCAGTATATAGTAGTTATTTGTGAGGGTGACACTGCTGTACTAAATGGATGTAAATCACTTTTTCATTTAGTGAGTTATCAGTGACTGTGTTTTTTCTTTCTTGTTCTACCGTAGGTCCTTCCAGGCATCGGCTCCAAGCAGGAGGGGAAGCCAGCCCAGCCTATCGAAACAACGGGAAAGTGTTCAGACTCACAGACCCTCGCATCCCCAACACCTGAGCAGGGTGTCAGGTGCATGAAAGCAAATATGAAAAACAAAAACTGTTTAGACCGATGTTCATGTGTGAGTGTTTTCTATGCAGCCAGCAGAGTTTGAGACTTGGGTCTGTGACACAGGAGCCTTCAGTGATTCACTTTTCCAAAGGTAAAGGTTCTCAAAGTGAACTGTTTTCTTCAGGATTCAAGATTCTTTACTTTTGTGTCAGTTTGTTTTAATAAAAACATTCATCTACGCTCACCGGCTTTTTTAAGTTTTAGTAAAATGATCAAGGATGTTGTTGTTGCACTTTGTGTGCGTTTGTCTAGATCTCTCATTCATTCATCACTTAAATTAAATTTGATTGGATAGAAGTGAGCTGGGGCTCTAAAGGTCAAGATGTGCCTGAGATGATTACACTATATACAGTACAGCTTGGAAAGCATTCACAGTGTTGAATACTTACATGCTACATGTTTTTTTAAATACATTTTTAAGATTTTCAGTGAAATTTTTTTCTGTTTGTCATTATGGTCTATTATATGAAGGTTTTGAATAAGGCTGTACAAACTGTAGAACAAGTGAAGTGCTGTGAACACTTTCCACATGCACTCTACATTATAAATAATAATAAAAAATAAATGTCATAAAAGTGAATGAGTAAGACATTGTCCCACAAGCAAAACATACACATACACAACAAAATATACACTAAAGTTTTGACTATAACGAAACATCACTTCAGACCTTTTTTCTTTGAGAAAATGTGTATTACATTTCCTTAAAGAAAAAAAAACTCTCCATAAGAGATTTAGAGTTGTGAAACTTGGACTAGTTCAGTCAAAAATAATTGGAGTTATTAATTTTTAATTTATGTGGATTTGTGAACTTTTATTTGAATTTCTGTGTGTTTGGATCACTGTGTTGTTCATTTTATTTGTTTATCTTTGTTCCTTCCTTTTTTGTTGATTTGTTTATGTTGAAAAAAAAACCCCCAACAACAACACAGAACTGAAAAGGTTTCAAGCTGTAGCTCAGAAATAATTCTCATAAAATCGGGCTGCCATCAGTTTACAATAAAAGTGAAAGAATTACTCAAACTGCAGCGTGGATCTTGTGGAGGCCAGCTATGGTCAGCGATTTGCTTTCTGCAGGTGTGGCTTTGATCTAAGTGTCAATGTTTACAGGTTGATGTAATAAAGAAGGTCAAACTGCTTTATTCAAAACGCTGTCATCCTGTGGGCCTCAATGATATGGCCGCTTTCAGCCAATCTGCAACAAGTCTGCGAAGATCAAAGAGGAGATGAGCCAACCACCTCTCCTCCAAACACCCATCCTCAGCTGGAGCTTCTCTTTAGCCTTTATATGCAGGAGCTGTGAGTGACGTTCAGCTTCCTCGGACAGAAGTTGTTTTTCCAATTGCACAAGGAGACGAAAGAGATTCTGGAGCAGCTTTAAGGTTCTTCAGTAAGCTACGTGTTTCAGCCCTGGAGGTACTGGACAGAATGGCGACAGGCGCTGGCGAGTGTCCGAGCAAGGCCGTTCAGTACCGGGTAGATCACCTCCTCAGTGCGGTGGAGAGTGAGCTGCAGGCCGGGAGCGAGAAGGGTGACCCCACGGAGAGGGAGCTGAAAGTGTCCTTGGATGAGAGCGAGCTGTGGCAAAAGTTTAAAAACCTCACAAATGAAATGATAGTTACAAAGAATGGCAGGTGAGCGCATGGACGGATAGACTGATGTAAAACACAGTTCTAAGTTTCTTCCGTTTTTTAAAATGTGTGACTTTTTTTTTTAAGGCGCATGTTTCCGGTGCTGAAAGTGAGCGTGTCTGGACTGGACCCGAACGCCATGTATTCCTTTTTGCTGGATTTCGCGTCTGCAGACAACCACAGGTGGAAATACGTCAACGGAGAGTGGGTGCCTGGTGGAAAACCCGAACCTCAAACTCCCAGCTGTGTGTACATCCACCCAGACTCCCCAAACTTCGGCGCGCACTGGATGAAGGCTCCCGTCTCGTTTAGTAAAGTCAAACTCACAAATAAGCTCAACGGAGGAGGTCAGGTAAGTGCAAGGCAAGTTCGTGCCGTGTTTTTAAAATGAAATACACAATGAAAATGCGTTTCAGAGACACAACATAGCTACATCTGTGTTGTCGTTTTTCCAGATCATGTTAAATTCTTTGCACAAGTATGAGCCACGCATTCATATAGTTCGGGTTGGAGGCCCACGGAGGATGATCACCAGCCACTCTTTCCCAGAGACACAGTTTATTGCAGTAACGGCGTACCAAAATGAAGAGGTAGGCAATGCACCGATTTGTGTGTGTGTGTGTGTGTGTGTGTGTGTGTGTGTGTGTGTGTGTGTGTGTGTGTGTGTGTAAGAATAAAATGAGTTTAGCAAGAAATATGGTTAACAGAAATAGAATACAAATAAAGTTTAATGTGTGCGTAATTTACGCACAGCTTTTGCGCACG